TTGTTGATTCGCACTTAATATTTCCCCAAGTTGCCTCATCTAGACAATCTAACATGGAAAATTTTGTATGATCAAGAGGTGGAAATTAATCATTTGCCTCCATGTTGATCGAATTGAACGATGGCCTTCGATTATCCAAATTAGACAGTCCCCATATGCTTTGGGAATTGAAATTCATACCTCACTAGATAATTTTAGTATTCCCAAATTTCGAAGTTCTACTTTTGGGCATGGGCCAAGGGCCGTTAATTGATGATATTTATGCTTGTAGTCACTTTGCAGGGCATGCCCGAAATCCTTTGTCCGGTTGCTTTGCTTACATCATCAGTTGGACTATATGAAGATGTTACCACACTTAATGTTGGAAAAGTAATATGTAGCACATTTATGAAGATAATACCTCAGGTAGATTCTACCTAAAAACTTAAGCAATTAATTTACCGGCTAGTGTTTATATGTCATGAGCATATTGTCAAATGATTGAATGTTCTTCGAGATTATAATGCTTTTTTTTAGGAGGAAAATGATGAGATTTAAGAAGTGAGAAAGATGGCAGAAGAATTTGAACCCAACATCCAACGTCTCTAATTCATTGGACTTCATGAACTAAGGATCAATTATAGTACCTTAGTTGGTGTTTGCTCGTCTTGGTTTATGACAAATTATTACTTTAGTTTAACACAAATTCCATCACTTTTTCGGAGTCTCATGACCAAATTCAGGGTTCATGCATGTAGAACAAGATGGTTATTAATTAGTACACAAGTGAATCCAATTCTAAGCCAAAAGCAAGGGCATCAAATTTAGTGTCGACTATTTTGACTATTATTATTTAGAGAGTATATTTCATCAATCTATTTAAATTTTCTATACTTATTTCGGTAGGGAAGGATCACTACTTTAAAAAAAAAAAGTATTAAAAAAAAGAAAAAGAAAAAATACTGTAACCATAAGTCAACAAGGCTTCTGAACATGGACGACCGCCCAATTATTTGAGTGAAGCATATCAAAACTAAGATTTCATCTACCAAAATATCAATGGACTCTATCCTGGCAGGCCCAATATGTAAATGAATCCATCCGAGTGAATGGAAAGATCATTGCTACTCTTTTAAAGGATCCGTTATTTATTTACTACGTTTTTTTGCCTTACAGTTTTGGCAGATGTAATTTCCATATGGGGAAGCTTATGTAGTTGAAAAACTAAAATTGAATTGGGAAATGGGTTATATGCTTACCAGAATGGAGAAGTGAGAGGAGGACCAGTAGGGAAGTGAGCCAGCTCAGTTCCAATACTCTCAAAGAGGAGCCCTGTCAAGCTTTTCCCATTAATTACTGGAATGCTGGAAGGTGCAATCCAACCAATTAATCCAAATCCAATCACATTGAAGTCTGTCCTCAGCCAGTCTCTCTCAAAGCTTCAATCAGTTAGTATAAGACACGTTAATGAGGCAAAACCAAATTAAGGAAATCACCCTGATGAATTACATAGCAGCATAATAGTACTTAAGAGACATGATTGTTATGGAATTTTTGGCCTTAGAGATGATTACCAAGTAAACTTCCCTCCTGATATTTGTGCTAGGCTCAAAGGATTCCTAGTCGTTACGGGAGATTTTAGGAAGCCTAGAGAAAGAGATCATACACTAAAAAAAATTAGAAAACGCTATAATTTGTATATCCGAACATGTTATTGAACCATCTGTCACGCAATACATTGTCAGTGTAAAAAATAAACAGGGTTTTACCTGAGTTCAAGCATACTTTCTTTGGTGAAGATGCCCGAGAAGGCGATGACAAAGAAGATGTTCCCAAGCCTACCACGGTTGAGGCAGTAGCAAATGTGGTAGCCATAGTTTTCTGTGCTTGGGTTTCAATAGAGGAAAGGCTTGGGTTTGATCTGATGAAGCAAAAATAGTGGGGAAATTTGGATGGTTATTTACAGATATTTGGCAATACATGTTGCAACACAAGTGGATTTGAGCGAGTAATGGATTGCATGGATTGGCTGCTAAGCAATGCTATCTTGCCATGTGGAGTTGTATGGATAAAATGGACCCTGATTTGGATTGACTGGATGTACAGTAACCCTTCTCTCCTTGGTTGCCACAGGTGTTGGGTACACTTAAAACGGGACCAATTTTGGGTCGTGGCATTGATCCTGCAAAATTTTTATGGAGATTAAACCTTGGTTCGTTTAGGAAAAATAGTTATTCTAAGGTAAAAAACTTGCAGCAGAGTACAAATATCTTGTTTGTCCTGAGTATTGATTGTAATGATTCTTTGAAGAATTTAGCAATATTATGGTCAGGGATTTTTCATATTCGGTCAATTGTGTTGAGTATAAGAAGCTTGCTTTTGGATATGCAACAGCTAAACCAACATGTTTCTTGTCCATGGAAGTTGCAGAGACATTCTTGGGGTAATTTTCCAAAGATAACATAGCTTGTCGAAATACTTGACAGACTATAATTTTGTTTTTGACAATGTCCCTATAGTCATGTTAGTGATTGCATCGTAATTAGATCCATTTAGACTATCTTGTTTTTTTTAATTTAAGACGAGATTCCAAAACCTTCAAGAGGAAAGGAAAACGTAGAAGATTTGAAGTCGAATCAGAACTGCAGGCTAATGAATTCTATACTTGTTCGTTCTGAAACTATCCACCACTTTAGAGCTAAGAACTCATAAGGATGTATGACCTATAATTAATGGATTGAACAAATACAACTTGTTTAGCTTGATTTGCCATATTTGCAGGTAAATTGGATGTCATAATTCTTAAATGCATATGAAGCACGAAGTATTCTACAGTTCATGAACTTATTTCCCTTCATTGCCTCAGCCATTATTTTGTGTAGATTTCAATTATATTCTTGATTATTACCTCCTAATGTTATTCTTAACAATCCATTAAGTCAACCTAAAGTTAGCAAAGTACTGTTCAAATTAGACTTTGATGAAAAGTCCTGTGCCAATCATCACATCACGCACATATATCTGTGCAATACTTATCACGTCTGTGTTCCTGGTTTAATCTTGCCAATGATCAAATTAATATAAGATCTGGGCTCCAGTCTGAAAGATGCATGTCGAATTAAATACAAACAAGATGAAAATAATAACGTAATTGACTCAACTTACTTAAATTTTTTTTAAGGTCTTAGTATTAACGTAGTAGTAAATCTTTTTTCTTTCTAGGGACAATTGAAGCTGTGATATGGTCGGTGTTTAACGTGAAGGGGTAGGTGAGAATGGCATGTGTCTTTGGAAAATGAAATCAAAACATGCATCTTTAGTTGATTTTTCAATCACTTTTTGCATTTTTCTCGTGGGAAACAAAGGAGGCTTCATATTTATGCCAAGAATGTGTAACAAATGTTACCTTAATCCCATGAGAACAAATGTTACCTTAATCGCATGGTAAATATAACACAGCTATAACAACAAGATGTGTAACAAACGCACTTTCTCTATGCCAAGAATTATGCAATTTATTATGGATTAATCTTGTATATGCTAACAGTGTATTCATTATCAGCGTTGAATGAATGACAACTATGTAAAATTTAAATTTGAAATCTAATTTTTTTTTTTTACATATATCATAGATCCAACGATAATAATGTACACATTGTCGATATATAAAAAATTACTCATTTATTATGTTGTCAAATTAGCTTCAACTAAAATATATATTCTTGTAATTCACATTACAATCTGAACGAAATCTTTCAAGATATTTGGTGGCCCAAGTAATGAATTTTCTATTGTCAAGAAATAAAAGTAATGAATCTACTAGCATAGACACTGTGCAACCAGGGGGCTTTGTAAATTTTTGTATTTACAACCATCATCTGCTGAAAGATCAAATAAATGGAGGAACAATATAAGCAATAAATATAAATCCCAGATTTGAAGTCTAGTGGGTCCTTTGTTCGAAGTTTTAGGCAGATTTATCAATACAAATGGTACTAATGACATTGTATTAGCCCTTATTGAGTTGATTATATTGACTTAAAAGCATTTCTCAATAAATTCAAATTGAAGTTTTATGATGTTAGGACCACTTAGCCGAAAAACACAGCTCCCCCACTACGCAGCACCAGAAATGAGGCAAATTTAGAGAACATTTCTTCGAAAACATGCCAAACCGGCAGATCGTCTGTTTTCCTTCTTGCATTTGTTAATGACAAAGTGGGAATGTTAAAGTAAAACATAAGTTAAAATCCTGTCATTAGGGGAACAATGCAAATAATTAAGAGGACCTCGCGCACTATTAGTGAATCTCCCGATCTTAATTGCTTCTACAAGCCAATGACAACTTTTTTTCGTGACCGTGTGCATGAGATAAAAAAGTGATTAAAAAATAATAAAAGAGATTTGTAATAACCATCTCGAGACCGAACTCATGTAACGAAATTGGAGGTACAACATAAGTCGAACAGTGCACCTTGTAAATTAGAATAGCTGCTGCTAATGTAGTAGGGTAGGTTTAGGAATGCTGATATCCTAGGGTTTTTTTATTCAAAAGGGAATCTAGCTATTGCTCTTCGATAGCATCTTTTGGTAAAGAAAAAGGGAAGTGCTGTTGTTGTCAATCTTAATTAATGTTGTTGTTTTCTTGCAAGAAAACAGTTGTGCGAATTTGGCTCCTTTCCAGCGGATTCTTTATCCATTCTCCATTTTTGATAATGTATATCTGGATGCATGACATGCGTCTACATATCATACATTTGCACGCACGCACGTTGTGAGAAACAACGAGAAAATTCACCGGCCAGAAGCCGAAACGAAGAGAAAATTCACCGGCAAGAAGCCGAATCCTGTGCTTGGCGGCTGAAATGGAAGGTTATTTCGTAGAAATTGAATTTGGCCTACTAAAATCTCTTGAGATTCATTGTACGTGGAATGTTTCTAGAATTCTATAATGTTTGAATGAAAATGTAGATTGGTTAGATAAGAGTGTACCTACAGCATTCAAGGATGTACCATATCGCTTTAAAATGGTTTCAAGTGATCAGCCTTACTTCAATCCTATCCTAGAGTGCAATAATTTTAATTACCTGAAGCCAATGTGTGCTTAAACTGTAATTACATTAATATCAAATTTAAAACTGGAATTTCTGCCATTTGAGTCCCCAAAATGGTTATGGTCAGTACCCAGTATACTTGAAAATATCTTATGCAGATCAACTTGTTCAATTTTACCATTTAATCCTTTGGATCCTCCTCTCTGATGCCTTCATGCCTTCACTTCTTCATAAGATTCAAAACAAGCAATTAATGAAATGGACCAATAACAAGTAAAAAAGAATCAAAATTGAATCTAGACATTAAACTTATTTGAACTTCTGTACGCACTGTAAATATTTCATTATTCTTGGAGTGGATGGATGAATAAACCTTACAAATATCATATAGCAATGAAATAATCCATTGCTTCTCTAATTTCCTATAGACACTTAATCTTCACGTATCTGAAAAAGAATAAATATAATAGGAGAAAAATCTCTCCACATATTTCTATGTATTTTCCTATAACCTAAAAAAGTAATCTGTCCACGAAAGTAAATTTAAGGGCTAATATAATGATCATCAATCATCATCTAAACAAAACAAACGCCCAGAAAGCCATGAAAATACTAACCCCAGTGGCTATGCACACCATATCCAACCTCCTTTCTCTGTTTTGCCTTCTCTCCCTCCATTCTCTCCTAAGCTCCAAGAACACTTCATACATCCTTTTCTCCTCTCCAGCTTCACCTTTTCTCCTGTTCCCATCCATGGCTTCCTGTAAAATTACCAAAGTGTCCTCCCCGCTAATTATTTTCCCCTCCAAGTCCTCCACCTGCATGCTTATCTCCCTCACTTGCAAGTCCCCTCCTTCCTTCCCTCCACAAGTAACCACAGCTTTACAGATAACGAACTCTCTGCCAGCACGGCCGCCGCAACCTCCGGTAGCCATCACCGTCGCGTAAGAGGCCTGAATTTCTCCTGTTAACCAATGGCGCCGGACATCCACCGGAGTCAAACTCGACAAGTTAACAGCCCGTTTTTTCGCGGGGTCGATGACTATCCAGCTCAGCCTCATGTTCTCCTCCACTCTAGCCATGCACTTGTCGTCCTCGCCGTCGAACTTCACCAGTGCCGGAACTATCTCTTTGGGGTCTAGCAGGTCAACCCTGAAGGGTGAACACATGAACCAGCCGGAGGACGTCTCCGTCACGGCGACTTTGGAGTAAACAAGCTCATTTCCATAATGAATGTCAACAGCAGAAATCAATTCTGATGAGTGACTATCATTGGACTTGGGCCGGCGGTGGGCCGGCGGCTGCCGGTGGTGGTGGTGGATGTTGGGGAAAGAATCCGAATAGAACGAACGGTGGCCGGAAGGAAAGCTCGATATTGCTTGCTGAATGCATGGATGGGCTGTTGACGGCCAGTTCGAATTGCAAATTGTCTTCCAAAGATTTTCCTCCGTGCAAAGGCTGTGTAAATCTGAAGAAGCACAGCTTGTAGAAGCAAGAGTTGGGCCATCAAGCCTAGTCAAGATATGTGTTTGGATGATGTCCGGATGGACAGCGGTGATCGTGGTGGCTCCGCCACCGTCGGCGGAGGTCGCTGCGGCGGAAGTGGAGCAGCTAGAAGACATATTCATTGGTCGGTCTTGGTTTTAAGTGTTGAATATTGATCAAAATCTTGAAATTGGACTTTGAAGGAAGCAAATATTCTATTCTATATTTCTATATACCAGCTTCAATTGTTTGAGAGAAAAGATGAGGAGTAGTTGTTTCTTGCTTCAGGAGCGAGAAGCATGAAGAATTGAAGATTGAGGGGTGGTATATGTACACTTCATGGAGGATGGAAAAAGTGGTTTGATTTTATCAAAATGGGAGAGTCAACACTGGCATGTTTAACATTTGAAATAAAATAGTTATAAGATAGTGGTAGTACTACTACTTATGGTACAGTGGAATTAGGGAGAATTAATGAGTTGGGGCTCTTAAAAGAAGCCGTATTTGACTTTGAGATAACGTTCAAACTTCCCAATGTCTCCCAAGGTGCCAAGTGAGATAACGAAAGGCTAAAGCTTACAAAATGAAATTTACTTTTAAAATTTTTTATACTAAATATTCATGTGATTTTTTTCTTCTAGAATTCAAGTTCATTGGGAATAATTAAGTGAGATAAATAAAAAGTACTATGCAAAATGTTTACCTAAAACTAAAATATTCTGGGACATGACGTAATTTTTCGCGTCATTTTTATCCTCAATTATCAAATATAGGATTCAAATCTTGAATTTGATATGAAAGAGACTCTAATTGTTGGCTAGTAGCCAGTGGGGCAACCCCAGTAGTCGGTATCAAACCAAGAAAGTCACTCATGAAGAATCTTTTCCTTTTAACATGTGCCACAAATTCAAATATTTTTGTAACTGTTTTTAGGAATTACTTCAAAGATTCGTCATATGTTTCATTTGTAACACTGAGTATATATGTTACTATATTTATATTCATGTTGGATAATTAAATAACTTGCATATCTGATTCAATAATGCAAATTATTCTATCATAAAACATATTTACTAAAAAAAAGTATATAACACCTATGTATTTTGAAGTATATAATGATATATATATATATTTTTGTCTTTCTCTATCTTAGAAGTCTCTCTTCACTTTGGGATTCTTCTTCCTCTTTTTTTTTTTTTTTCTTCTGATCCCTTTCATTTTACACTGGATGGAGTTGTAAGTAATAACTCTTATATTTTACACAAACAAGTCAATATGCTTTGGACCTATAGTGCATGTTATTTTGGTTATTTTGGGCTTCTAGTCGAGCGTGTAAAGCTGTCTTCGTCATTTACCACTTGAGGGGCGAGAAGTCACAAGTGCCATACCACCGGTTTTATATCTTATAACTTGCTACATAGTCCACAAAAGTCAATTTTAGCATAACAAAATGTTGTTCCAAAAAAACAAACTAGTCGGTAGCACTCCAAAGTAAAATCCAACAAATTAGTTAGGTACAGACTATGATCTTTGGCTTTGTATGGATCAAGCGTTTTTCACGATAATTTTTGAATGATTTTAACATAGCGACGTATATGAGAAACTTTTATTGTACATGATTAGACGTTTATGGTCTTTGGTTTTGTATGAATCAAGCGTTTTTTTATAATATTTTTGAAAAATTTTAACGGAGTGACGTGTGTAAAAATTTTTTACTGTAGATGACTGAACGTTTTTAAACGTGTACAAATAGCTATCGTTTAGCTATTTTCGAACGGTAGCTACTTGATAGGACGAAGTCAATATTGGATGACTGAGGCTGGCTAAGAAGGTGATGAAACTTGGCAGCACATTGCCAAATTGTCCAGTTCTGGTAAGTGATCTTATCCAAATTAATACGGAAAAGAAAACCCACAACTTGGGAGACTTTTGAGGTAGTTTCCAGCTTTATTTTTCAAGATTGATAAATGAATTTGATAACCACGAGCCTAAGACCACTTTTTTTTCTTGGTAATAAATGCTCTCACAATCTTTAATACTACTATATAATAAGTTGGATATTTTGCATCGTATATATGCGTGTATTTAGAGTATAGACGCGTGCATGATGACTGGTATGAAAGTTTCAGCAAAATGGCCTTTCAGCAGATTTCTTGGGCACCTTCAAGACGTGTCATAGTCCTCAAGTGATGACTCAATAAGTTCTGGCCAAGTCTCAGCAGTTTATTACTAGTTATCCTTTGGCTCAGGTAGTTGCTGGGATGGTCGCTGCCTCTGATTAGTCGTACATTTCTGAAATGTTTTTGGTAGTTTTTTTTTTAATAGGAAATTTGTATCTTTTGGGAAATGAAAAGGTCAAAATATGTAGTCAAGTACCCTGAGCTCTGATAATTAATGCACATATCCACATTATTGAGTGCACTTTGGTAGTTTTCTTAGAGGATGCTGTAGGGTTCTTGCAATTCTCCTCTTAAATTCTGACATATCTTCATATTTGCCGAGTTTTACAGTAGTATCTTTTGGGTATCATATCGTTACGTAACAATTCATTGTTAGATGTATAAAAAGAGATATCAATCTTAGATAATTTCAAGTTTTTTTTTTTTTTTTTTTTTTTTTTTTTTTTTTTGAAAAACAGGTTTTAAAAGTTTAAATTATTGACTGCTGGGGTAAGAGTTTTTAAGTAAGGTTTTTTGGTAGAATTTTTCCAATATAGTGTACCAAACGTGAAAATTATTGATATCACAAAGGTTGACACTAAACCACTAACGTGCGAAAAATACAACACATCTTGTCACTCTTTGAAAGTTGTATCCCTATATACCTACCCTACCGTTGAAAGGCCATAAAATTGAGGCTCTGAGGAGCCATCCAAGAATTTGGCAAGCGGTTTAACAAGCATAAAAGTCTTTGAACTGCAGGTATATATATGTGTGTATATATATATATTCCGACTATGGTAGTATCAACAAGCTATAAGTGGTTTCTGAAGTAAACCACAACTGGAATAAATAAATTAAAAGGGAAAAGATCAAAAGAACTACCATTTTCAACCAAGGAACTAATCATTTATAATCATTTCTTAGTTCTGCAACCTTGATATAATCCCAATCTTACAAGGAACTAATTGCGTGTTCGGCAACCTTGGATCCTTAAGTTTTTCAAAAATTAATTTTTCAAATACTATAAAAATTTTTAAAAAATACTCTAAAAGGTAGTCTAAATTTTTTTTAATGTTTAAAAAATATCTCAAAATATATTTTAAAAACTCTACTACTTTTAAATATTTAAAAATATTTTGAAATATATTCTAAAAACTCTGTTACAGTAAAAGTTTTCAAAAATATCTCCAAAAACAACTAATCCAAACAGAGCCATATTTATTTACAGAAAGCATCCTTTTTGGTGTCGTACCATGATGGTGCACATCAGATATTGCCCACTGATGCATATCAAATCATGTGTAACTTCTAACAGCACTCTTAAAGGAAAAGGGGCCACCTTCAATATTCTATTGGATGGCTTTCTCCCAGCCCAAAAAAAAAAAAAGTATTTCTGTGCTTGGATCAGAATATTTAAGATTGATTTTTGATCTTCAAAAAAAAAAAAAAGAAAAAAGAAAAAATTGAACTGCACCTGAATTGCGTAGATAACTCTAAAGTACTTGAATCTTATTATGCTTTTAATAAATGCTTTGGTTCGTATGTCATCTGTTCTAATTTATAACCTATTCTTGGGATTCATCTCATTTCTGGGAGAATTACATTAATCATCCCTCAGGTTTTGACTCTATAAGTTTTTCACCTCTTAGATTAAAATGAAGCATTTGGTCCTTTATATATCCTAGAAAAGCAGCATATTCTAGTCCCAGAGTTCATTTGCCAAGAAAGAACGTGGACAAATCAAGTGAGTGACATGGGCAATGAGGAAGCATAATAAGGGAAAAAGTTAGGGTCCTCCATGGGTTTGAGTAAGCTTTGTTGTGCATGTGTGTGTGTTCTCTCTCCCCCCCCCCCCCCCTCCTCTCTCTCTTATGTTCTTCCTAAAATGTTGTTCAAGAGATGTACTCTGGTGAAAAATAGACTATAAATGAAGTTTTGGACTATATCACAATACTTATAAAATCTGAGGGACTAAAATGCCTATTTTAAGTGTGAGGGACTATAGAAGTATAAAATACCAAAAATATGAGGGATTACTTTAATAATTTATCCTTCAACTTTTTAAAATTGCAAATGATTACATGATTAGGTGTTGGTACAACAACCAGCTATTCAAATAATTGAGCCTTAATTACAAATAAATTACTCCCTCCGTTCCTTATTAGATGGCCTGAATAACTAATTCTCTTAGATTAAGAAAGTTGGTTATTTTCTAAAAGTCAACAAAAGTTTTACTTTACTTCTCAAAATTACCCTTTATCTCTCTTCAGCTATACCTAATTAATACTACCTGTCATTTACTCTCTCTCACATTTCTCAATCAATAGATTAAATCTGAAAATCTGAATAGTTCCCACCAAATTTGTTTTCATAGATCTCAAAATTTGAATATTAATGGAGTTGGTCAATCCCAATTTATAGACACATTTCAATTTAATTCTTCATCTCTTCAACTACTTCTATTGTTAATGCTACAAATACTGCATTTAATTATTTAGAGTTCCAATTCAAGAAAGTTGAAAGGGTAAGCAAGGGTAAATTTGGAAAAAAGTTCATAAATGCTTTCTTGATATCATAAAATGACAGATAAAAAGAAACAATGGATTAGGACATCTAATAAGGAACAGAGGGAGTACAATCCAATAAAATTGATCAAGGACAAAACTAGAATTCGAGATTTGCCAAATCCCATTATTAGTTCAGAAGGGCCATCTTAAAGTATATAATTACAAACATTTCGTGTCTCTTTCCCAGCATATCATGTACTCTCCATGGCCTTAATGTCCTAAGTACATAAAGAAATATACAAAAACATGCGAAAAAGATTGATCATTAATGGCTTTTTATTGGCTTGTCATGTTCTAGACTACAGCCCTTTTTTGGTCTTTCTGCCATCAAAGTGTTTTGAGCTTTCGTCTCAAATATATATTATCTTGAAGGGAATTAATCACTATAAATTAGTTTATCGATTATCAGTATTAAGATTGTTCCAACAATTAAAGCAGCTTAATTACCATTAGAGACAAATGCCGCTCTTTAATATTCTATTGAGCCGCCCCCTTATTGATCGAGAAAATGCCATTTGCTCATGATTCTTACATGCTTTTATAGTATTTCAATAGTAAGTGAACAAATGCACATATTTTATGTATTTATTCATGTGTGTAAACATCAAGAAGATTAGTCTTATTGATAAGGAAATATTACCCATAAGGAATATTAATTTGTCTTTAGCAGTAAAGATGGACAGGTTAAGCAGTTCTTATT